TTACACAAGATGTATGCATCTATACAGACACCTATTCATCCAGCTTACACAAGATGTATGCATCTATACAGACACCTATCCATCCATCGTACACAAGATGTATGCATCTATATAGACACCTATCCATCCAGCCTGTATACTCGATTCTACAAAGACGTCCCCCGAATATATGCACACTCGTCCCTTCCCACCGCTCGCTCCGCTGGTTATAGTCCACGGAGAGGATTGAACACGCACACGCACACACACCCGCCCTACACATGCCACATCCATCCCATCCCACAAAGAAGGCTCCAAAACACACCCCATACAACTCGTGTGTTGGCCTTGACCGGGCATACCTGGTCGTGGTGGCGTAGTGCGAGGATGTCTGGGATGTGCTGCACGGTCTCTTGCTTGGTGATGTATTCCGTCACGTCTTCATTCTCGCGTAATGGCTCGTTCATGATCATGTTGTACCGATGCACCAGCGCTTCAGACGGCCCCTCATAGTCAGCCAAGCACTGCACACACACAGTGACACGGGGTGACAGAAGCACCAATTAGCACCACCAGGGTTTAGGGTTTAGTTAACACTACTAATTAGCACCACCAGGGTTTAGGGTTTAGTTAACACTACTAATTAGCACTACCAGGGTTGAGGGTTTAAATATACACCACCATTAGCACCACCAACTAACACCAATTATTTATACAGAGGGATTATTATTGCGGAAGTGCAATGAAAGCGAAGCAATCGACTGAGTCATCAGAAAGTGGTCAATGCCAGTGCGGTGCGGGGTTGTGCGATAAGGCAAGTTGTAAGTTTTGAAGTTGTAAGTCTTTCAGTTCTAAGTTTTTATGTTCTAAGTTTTTAAATGCAGTGTCGCCTGTAGTGTAATGCCGTATGTGTCTTTCTCAGCCAAGGCCCTCGCAGTGCTAAGTTTTTAAGGTTTAATTTTCAAGTTCTAAGTTTATAAGTTTTAAGTTTTTAAACGCTTTTGTTCTCGATGAGAACAGCGCCACTGCAAACGGGCGAGATTGTACAGGCGGATACAGCAGGTATGTGGGAAAACCCAAAGACAAACAGATTCGCGAAGACCCAATGCATTGGGCCACTTGCACTTACACTAAAACATACACATACACATACACGTACACTTAGACTTACACATACACATACACCTACACTTACACATACACTTACCCGCTCTAGATACACACAGGACTCCTGGTCCACCAATTGGATGCCTGCTCCAGTCGCACTCTGCGCATAGACCTCCTTCAGTGGCTGTGAGAGGCAAGCGCAAAAGTAGTCATATGAAGACATGTGCAAGCCATGTGAAGACATGTGCAAGCCATAAGTAGACATATGACGACATGTGCAAGCCATAAGTAGTCATATGGAGACATGTGCAAGCCATACGCAGCATACGCCAGTGGGTTGCAATCCTAACTGGTGGTTCTAACCATTGCGCACATATACGCAATCCCAACAGGTTGTTCCAAACATTGCGCACATTCATGGAGGTGGCAGATATGTACGTACCACAATGGCTGCGAGAATCGATCAATAAGTTTCAGATTTATATTGCGAACGGTAGCTTTGGACCGCTTCACCAATGTCTGTGATATTTTGATTTGATTGCTGCACTTGTGCGATAAGTCCACAGCAGAGTGCGCATCTACGGGACGTCTTATATGCAGAATAGCTCATATGCTCATACGCATCTCTGCATGCCGCAGGGCGGGTATGGGGTCCAGTGGGTGTACGCAGAAGCTGCCCACATGTCCAATGAATACGCAAACAACACTGAGAACCCTAAACCCTAGAAACAAGGGAGCAGCGCAACAGCGGCCATGACGACAGCAGACAGATGGCTCTGGCCAACCATCGATGGGATCATAAACGGACCACCAATGGAAGGAGGAGCCAATAGATACTGCACGTGCTACAATGATTGGTGGACAGATGACTCAGGCGAACATGACCCTCGATTCAGAGATGATTACGAATTCAGATATACAAGTCACAATGCAACACACATCTCAGTCAAGAGAAGTATGATATTTCTCCAGCACACACACACTAAACTGTACCACCATAGGTGCCCACATCTCAGTTAGACATGCACCTAGCGATACATCCCAACAGCATCTACATATGCACACACACCTCTAAGAACAGCTCGATGATCAGCACTAGAACACACACACACTCCTCTACGAACAGCTGGATAACCAGTACTACAACACACACACACCTCTAAGAACAGCTGGATGATCAGCAATACGTCGTTGGTGGGCAGGTCACCGTCAGGACCAGACGGTGGCAGCAGCAACCGCGTCACACCCGCCACAAACTCCTTCCAGGTGCCATTGATGATCTGTTCATGTGCACACAACACACAGTGGGTGATAGGAGGTAGGAAGAGAATTAAAACGGGGTGTGTGCAACAGTGGATGAGTCATGTGGCTAAGTATAAAGCAGTGAAATATAGATAGCTAAAACCCAAAACCATTAAAAACCTCAAACTTTGACAAAGGTAAGCAAGGGAAAACCATTTTCCGGAAACCCTACAGAAACCCTACAGGCTCGGTGCCACAATCGGTGGGGGTACCAAATTTAGATACAATCACACAGTGAATACGCCATTTAAATATTCACCCACACACACAGACACACCTAACCCACCAATAGCACACACACACAGACACACCTAACCCATCAATAGCACACACACAGACACACCTAACCCTTCAATAGCACACACACAGACACACCTAACTCATCAAAAGCATACAAACGCCTAAACAATCGAATACGCACACAGCCATATCTAGAAAGCCATAACCTATT